TTCCTCAAGGAAATGACAAATCCATTACGATCACGTAAATCTCTAAACATTTAAAGTCTCTTAACTCACTTTTCTCAGAACAACTATACAAGTTTGCACTTTAAACAAAACGAAAAAAGCAAAAACTGGAGCAACATCGAAAGCTTTTACATTTTATGGCTATTTTAATCAAATTCAACAGAAATTCTTTAAATGGTTTCGCTTATAAATTGTTATCTCGAATATTTTCTATAATTTTAATTGCTTTTTCTTGATTTTGTGGACCACAAAATTCAATCAGAGCAACATAAATTATAACCAAATAAAATCCGGTGTCGAGTCCACAGTATGTGACCCAGAAATGGGCTGTCTTGACTCCAATAAAAGAGATTTTCCTTCACGATAGCTTTTCCAGGGGGAAGCCACCCACATAAAGAGCAAAGAGAGTGCTCTTTTCTCACACCTCTTAGCTCTTAAATGCACTGAAAAAAAACTTCTATGTTAAGAAATGTTGAAAATATATGAAGTTTGAATAATATAAAATGATGATGTAGAAATCAGAATATAGATTTTTTTCCAGGAAAAAAACTTTATCACTTTCCTAGTTTCCTCTCAGTGTATTTTCAAGTTTTGTGGGGGCGACAAATCGTGCGCTAATTAACTCATTGACACTGTGGCCTCTGCTCTCCCCGTTGTCCCTGATGCACTGCAACCCATTCCCGGGGGGCAACGATTCGAGTGGCGTCAGTGAAAGAATCGTGCGTAAAACTTGAGTACGCTCCACATTAAATGGCGCTAATTTCGTGGCATTCGAGCTGCCTTTGGTGCTGGTCGATGGTCAGTGGTCAGTGGTCGGTGGTTTATAATGCAATGGAAATAGAAATGGAACTGGAGCTGATGATGGAGCTGGGAGTCTGAGGTCTCTGTGCTCTTCAGGGCGTGCCAATGCAATTAGCATTAGTGCAGTTAGCGGTGGGGAGGGGCCAGAGAAAAAAGTGGAGGTCGAAACTGATAAATGGCTGCAGCCAAGTTGAGGTTTATTTTCCTTTTGCCCAGGCCCAGGGCAGTTTGTTTGCCGCTCTCCGCTTACAAAACAAACCGAAATGCCAGCCGCGGCACCAGGCGAGCAAATAAAACGGTTTCTTCCAGGAAACGTGACAAAAACGTCAATAACTGCAGGCCCTCTCTATACGCGTATACTATACCCATACACCATATACAACCATATACCATAAACCATATATAGTGGCTGCAACTACGGCGATTCCGATGACGATGCCAATGCCAATAACAACAACAGCCAATACTAAAACCAAAAACCAATACCGATGATGGCCATGACCACTAGTTGCAGCACATGTGACAAATCGCAGTTGTTTGTTGACTTTGCTGCATATGCAAAATGCAAAATGCAAAATGCGAAATGCAATTACTTAGGGCCGAGTGTAATCTAAGACGCTTCACCCAGGGTCCCGGTCCCAAGTCAAGACCCCAGACTCCAGAACCCAGTACTCAGTGTACTCAGAGGGTAACCAACTGCAATCGTCAGCGTAAAAGTTCCGGGAATGGAGCCTTCGAAGTGAATGCCTCAGACGACATTCCAGGAACTATTGCAACCTATAGGGGCAATGTTCTTGGGGGCAGTTACGGTCAAAAGCCAAGGATAACTTTGGGTTTTAAATGGAGAAAGAATTTCTGTGGGTTATCTTTCAAATAAAGGGATTGTTAAACATAATGAAATCTGATCTTAAAAACCAATAAATAAAAGTAGAAATTGCATTTCCTGTCATATGTTTGCTTTTACTTAAAGCTGAAAACTTTAACTCTCCTTCTTAAATCATAAGTCGCCATGGAATTCTTATCCGCATCACTATAGTGAAAGTAAAATCTGGAAAGTAAAATCAAATATGTTTAGACTCGATAAATATGCCAGGGAAATGGCTCTTGATTATCATAGAGATCGATAAGCTGCGATTTATGTTTATCGAATGGTGGATAAATGAGAGTTGGCAACGCCCACCGATCTTTGGTTTACTGCTCCACACAGATCCCATAACTCAAATCGAAAATGGAGGCCGAAAGAGATGATCATGCTGATGGAATGACAAAATGATTGGACAGATGGAAAAGCCATGTGAGATGGTGTTGGCCATAACCATATGTTCACGGATAGATCGTAAAATCTTTTTTCTGTACATGTGCCGCAATTACGAGGCATTTTGACGCCCCAGCTCGTTGTCAAGATATTTGATTTTTTTTCTTGTTTTTGTTTTTATTTTGATTCGTTTTTTTCCGAATTTGTATTTTGGATTTTGTTCATGCTGTGCAGTTTAGCATTTTATGATTTTTTAATTTTATGTTGATGAAGCTCATTGCTTGCATATTTGATTAGCGTTTTAGGTTGTAGTTTTCTGATTGTGTTTTTTATGGTTTGTTTGCTTGTTGGCCGCGTTCTTTGTTTTCCTGATTATTCCAGCATAATACGGCCTGTGATTCGCTTAGTTTCCGAGGCTTCCCTCCGAGTGTGTCATTTGTTACATTTTCAGGTTTTGACATTATATATCAAGATCTTTGTTTTTACGGCCAACGAAATAAAGCTGTGCACAGCTGGTGGCCCAAGCCCATATAAATTGGCTTATTTATAAATCCAATAAATACCAGCTGTATATTATTAAATGTTGTTATGATATACAAACCTTAAAACTAATTAGTAAGCTTCGAAAATTCGCAATTCAGCCGTCCAGTATGAAATTCTTATCACTTGTTTATGATTTTTTGCCAGTTAATGACGCAAATTCTGTGACGTTGCAGCCTTCAGTTAGTGACAATTAAATTATGGCCAGCAAGCCGCTATCGTTCAACGCCATAAATACCCATAAATAAGAACCACTAGCCCGCTCGAAACTCTATATCCATCGGTTAATTTCTGAAACAAATCACGCCCCCACATCGAGACCTATCGATAGCATCTTAGAACGCCTTTTCTTTTGGCTTTATTTTGCCATATTTATGCTGATGCATTTCCCAGTTCTCAATAGCCCTGCCCAAAACTAAACTAATCGAAACGAAACGAGTCGAGACGAGCATTCCACTCACCATGACTAATAACTTAATTAGAAACTCGGGAGAAGACCGAGATTTTGATGTTAAAATCTTAATAACTTGCGGCAAAAATGCGACCCGATCGAAGCTTTTTATTGAGTGAAAAACAAACCCGTAGCGAAGATCTCTAAAATATCCAAAAAGATCGAAGCCCATAAAAATTCCAAAGCCTAAAATGCATTTGATGGCCTTTTCTTCCAGGGGAGTGTGAGTGTGTGTCGTGAAAATAAAAATAAACATTTGGCTTTTCTAGTTTTGGGTTTTGTTTTCTTTTAGTATAAAGACTGAGGTTAGATGTTAGGAACTGTGGTGGCACTTTCAATGTCAAAGTCATTGGCAGTTCAACGGTAAGGAATCTTGGGTCATCTAATGGATTACCCAGGCCACAGAGACCGCAACAAGATTACCGTTGTTCATCTGGATGGACTTGCACTTCCTGCTCGGCTGGGAAATCAAGTAGGCAAATATGGCACAAAGTTGACAACGCTTTCGGAGGGGACTGAAAATAAAGGAGACTGAAACTGAGACATTAAGTGGCAGTTCACTGAGAAAAAAGTCCCGGAATAGAGTTTGTAAGGAGAATAAGATTTACTTTCTGTAATCGTAAATGTGTAAACTGGATTAGACATTTGATTTTTGGCTATAAGTTTATCTATAATGTATAAGATATTAAATCCCTTATTTAAGGATCAAATAACTTGACTTTAGTCAAAGTTTTTTCTTCCAGTTAAGCACCAAGAAGTGCGCACTCACAAGTGCTGGCTGGCAAAGGGTGCTCCACTCGGGGTTTGTGTCACCAAACTAATGAAATCAATAAGCTAGACGAGGACGGCCGGGCCGTGAATCACAAGAATCAGAAGAATAACAACAAAAGGGAGCTTCCTGGGGGCAAGAGGCACAAGTGGCTGCCACCGGCGGCCAAAGGTGTGAAGCACAGAGTCACTCAAGCCCTCAGTTCGCCTCGGCTCGGCTTATGAAATATGAGAGCTAAGAGCTAAGAGCTGAGATCCCAGAACCGAGAACTGAGAACCCAGACCGAGACCAAGAACGGCGACTCTTGCCAAGAATTTGTGTGCATAAATTTAATTACTGGCAGAACGGCAGAATGGCAGACGACTGAGACCGGGGCTGAACCCAGTCACCTATCAATCTAACTCGAGTGGCTTTTCTCCTCGTGTTGCCTTTTTCTTTGGCTTTTCAAGTGCTTTACTTATTAGTGACTTTTGTGGCCACATCCCTTCTCCTGTTCTCCTCCACCCCGCTGAAGTTCAATAGCCTGTCGAGGCCAGATACAGATACAGATACAGTATCTGAAATACTCAATGAACAGGGGCAGATGCCCTACCAGATACATCTGCTGATGCAACATTGTCGGTTTATAATTAGCGGAGAGAGCATGCGCGCACCTTGGCTACTTGACTTTTCTAAGGTTTAATGCATTTTCCGACTATTTTGGGAAATTGTTTTGGTTTTTGATTGAAATGATAGGAAAGAATTAAAGAGGTTTTGCCCTCTATTCTATTGAAAGAAAATATCTAATACCGTTTCAAGGATCTTTCTTATTTCTTTAACTTATTTAAGAAGCTCTAAAAACCCATAACTTAATAATGAAAATCTTTGACAACCACCCATCACTATCTACTTTCATAAAGTAATATCCGCTAAGGCACGTGTTTCGCTTAAGGTCAAAGTTCTAGTCTTACACATACTTTTATCTATAATGTTAATGATAATCCCCTGCCCCCACTGATTTCTACCTTCCGTTTTGGCACGCTTAATCACTTCGATGAGAAAAGAGCCATGTTTGCCTTTAATTAAAAATGTTTTTGCCCGCCAAATATTTACATCAATTAAAAGCGCCCGCCAAGCTGATTAACTAATGGAATTAATTTCATTTTTTTCTTTATTTTATTTTTCAGAAAATATAACGATAGTCGGCTTCCCGGATTATCTGAACAACGAATTCAAAATAGCACTGTTCGCAAAAGAAACTCAAAGATATTTGTGTTTCAACGACAATTGGAGATTAGTTGGCATGGTGAGTATTGACCTTAACTTAGGATTGCTTCTTCTCCATTGAAGAAAATGATTCACAGAGCAACTTGATAGATAAAAGACAACGCCAAGATGAAAGGGAATTTCCACACACAATTTGTTTATGGATAGATAAAGTTTATGGCATCTTGTGCAAGCAAATTGCTGGCCATAGCCATAATTATATGCTTGACAATATTTGTTTTGCCGGCATATAGATGCTGATATATAGCCAAGGCCCAGTGCAGCGATTTTGATTGCATTCGTACTCGTACTCGTACTTGACAAAATACAATGCGCCAAGTGTAGACAACACACACTTTTTTTTATTCCGTATATCCTCGGTTTTTTTTTTTTTGTATTTTATGCAAACTAACTGTACAAACACTGTAATTTATGACATGTTCCACATAATGGTTTTATGCAAACGATCGCTTATACGACAATAACAATATTATAGCAAACTGGCTAAATTGTCAGCCACAATGGGTGAAAACCCGTTTGCGGTTGCACCAAATCTGTCAGCGAGCTGAACAAAATATTTATTACAATATTTTTGTAATTTGTAATTCGAAAATGCGAACAATTTCATATGCAATTACGGACAAATGTGGGCCAGATTTTTAGGTAGATTTTTTTCATAGATACGTTTACGCGGCGTATGCGTGATATCGCATTGAGCAGTGAATTGCAACTGTTTCGGGACTCCGGGACTCGAAGGAAATTGAAAATCAAATTTTCGAGACATTGTAACAGTTTTTACTAGGCCCCGGGTTTCAATGTCAGACGTTAGAAGTGCAGGCACTCGAGAGCTGAGATTTGCCATCATAAAAGTCAAACAAACTCGTTTATGCCAGTTAGATATGTCTAATCAATCAAACGAATGACGCGGCACTTAATTACCGCTGTTATGATGTGGTAATGGCAAAAACATTTCAATGTCCTTTTCGCCACTCGCCAGTTACAGTTAAGTTAGTTAGCTAAACCGCACTCGAGCTCTAGACAAACAATAGAACCCCCATAAGGTCACTTGTCATTCTATTTCTATTGCTTTCGATTATGACCGCAAAATCCATGTTGAATTATTGTGCAAATACTCACCGTGATTTACACTCCATTCGATATCTTAGGCGGCTTTTCTCGGTAAGGTTATATGTCGTTATATTGTCGAGGTCGCAAAGTCTGGATGTGAGTCACATATTGATTACTCGATCCCTTCTCGAAATAGAACAAATATGTTTACCACCAAACACTCTGTGCTCCACTTGACCAGTGGTGCTGAGAAGCATCTCAAAAATAGCAATTAACAGCTATAAATATTCGAAGAGCTAACAAGTAGTCCATCGCTAAATATGGCATCAGACTTAATTGCTTGGGAAATGTTACATCTGCGTCGTTTGCAACACTTTGGGCCACAATCTCCTCGATCTCAGTGATCAGATTGGTCCGCTGATAGCAGAAATGGCCAGCAGCACGGCAGCAACACGCGCTCAACCACTTGGCTGTGAAGAGTGTTTTTCAAAGGGACTCCCACTTTGAGTACCCTGGAACTTTCGTGCTGCTTAAATTCATTTATTTTGACAGCAAATTTCACTTAAAGTTGATAAGCTTAAAACATAGTATCTTAACATTCGTTTCTTAATTGACTTTCTTAAATATTTCAAAGATATAAAATCGTAAAAAGTCCACTCTGTCGCACCCAATATCCCCTGAAAAGCAAGCTGACCACGGTATTTCAACATCCAAGCCATAAGCCGCGTTTCATTTGGTTGTCGTTTTCGAGATTTCAAGTGTTTTATAAATAAACAGAAGACAGACTAAACGTTCACTCCTCGCGCGATGATGTCGCTGTCATCGTTGTCGATACGTATATCAGAATATCTATCGAAGATAACACCTTTAACCAAAAAAAAAGAAACTATTTATGAACGGAAATGCCGCTCATAAATTGCATGTGAAGTGCACGGAAGCTAATGGTATATATCTTTTCTGATTACAGAGGGAACTGCGAGATACCTGCTATTTCAACGAGACCATCGTTCACGGTTATTTCGTGTTCCGTTCCGTTGTCGATCTGCAGCGACGTGTCGGGTTCACGCACCGAGGTAAGCCTGTGGGGCCAAAGAAGAGCGTCAACGATGCCTGCTATATGTTCAACAAGATCGAGGCCGAGCAGTTTTTCCGCCATCATCATAACAATGGCAATAGTGGCAGCAACAGCAATGGCAGCAACAACAGTCGGACGCCCCCGCGCAACAACAAAAACAATCGCCACAAATCGAATAACCAAAATCAAAAGTTGCAACAGCAACAGGAGCATCATGGCCATAATAATAATAACGTTATTCTTAATAATAGTAGTACTAGTTTAAGTAGCACTAACAAAAAGCAATTAGCGATAAACCGGCAGAAGCAGCAGCAGCAGCAGCGACAGCAACAACATCAGGTGCGACATCATCACAATGATCCATCGCTGCTGCTGCGACGACAGCAACACGAGAAGAAGCAGAAGCGGCGCAAGCAACAGAAGCAACAGCAACACCAACAACGAGTATCAGCTAGTCCAACGAAACAAATGCCAGCAACAGTAACACCAACACCAACACCAACACCAGCAGCAACCATTGCAGCAACATCACCGGCAACAGCAACACAATTGACAACAGCAACATTGAGCAGCAAGCGCAAAAGTCGGCGAAGAAAGGGCAAGGGCAAGCCAAAAGCACAGCAGCAACAGCAATTGCAACCACTAGCCACGGCAGCTACATCGCCCTACACCGACGACACCCTCTACGGCAGCAGCAGCAGCAGCAGCACGGGTTTCGAGGACTTTGATACCTACAACAGCAGCAGCAGCTCCAGTTTGGATCCCTGGTCCACTTGGTCCACTATCGATAGCTTTAGCAGCAGCAGCACAACAGCAACATCTGATGACAGTATTAGCAGCAGCAGCAACTACGATGCCTGGGCCACCTATATCACCGAAATGGAGGCCGAGGCATCGGCCATGACGCCCGAGATGGGCGGTAACGACACCGAGTTGCTGCAGTACGAGGCCGAGTTGGTGGACGATTCGGAGGCGGCGGAGTCCACGGCAACAATTGAAACCAAAGCAACATCAGCAATAGCGGCAACGGCGGCCACAACTACCTCGACAGCGGGCTCGCAGCTGGTGATAGAGCAGACGCCGCTGGCCAGGAGCAACATCAGCAACAAAAGCCACATCAGCAGCAGCACGCGGGCAACACCAACGGCAACCAGTCAGACTGAAACAGCACAGAGCACGCAACAAGCAAGCAGGCAATTCACCAGCAGCAGTAGGGAAAATCCCTCGGAAAATGCGGATAACTCCAAGATGTTGTTGGCAGGCGAAAACGAAGTGAAGCCACAACCACAGCCACTCAAGTTGCTCTGGACTTTGCAACCACCCATCGCCACACGTGGCAGCACGCGAGCAACTTCGATGACAACACCCATGCAGCAACTATCCAGCACGGCAGCAACAGCGGCCACGACACCACAGCAACATGTTGCTCCCTCACTCTTTAGCGTGGACAAGAACATTAACAGCAACCTGAACAACACTCTTACTGAGGCCTCGCCAACGGCAGCAGCAACATCCAGCTTTACGGCAGCAACAACGATGAAGAAGCCCATTCGGAAGTTTACTCGGAAGCTGATGGCTACACCCTATCACCAATTGACCTATGTCCGGAATGCCGGCGGGGATATCGATATCGACAACCTAGACAATATCAGCGTATATCCCGTTCTCTACAATGGCGATCTGGATGGGAATGGCAGCGGCAACAGCTCTGATAGCGGCTTCAGCGGATTCCTGCCTACCTCCACCACTTCCCATCTGACGGAACCGATTCGTATCGGCATGAACAGGATCAGGCCGAATAAGACTCTTCATTGGTTCAATCATCAGAGATTTGCGTAGTAGTTAGGGATTGGCAAGCTTTGGCTATTAGATCTTTAAAGGCAGGACTGTTCCGGTCTTAGCTTTCACAGATATCTTAATTTCTATGCAATGCAAGTCGATTGTTCAATTCTGAATATCATGATTTTGAAATACTTTATCATCTTACTAAATTCCAAACTTTAAAATATCTTTAAAAGTCACGACCAGAACAGAGCCTCTAAAGATACCTTTACTCAGTACTCAGTTTTCAAATGAATTTAGGCAAAACTAAGTGAAGAAGAACAAAAATGTATGAATAAATATTTCAAATTTATAATGAACTGATACATATATATATAAACATATATAGAACTCGATATACAATGGAGTTGCTTACTGTTCAGTACCTCGACTCAGACAGGACTTTGCACTTGCACTACGCCTAAAAGCACACTACAAAAGCGAAAAAAAAAACGGAAGCGGAAGCAGAGGCGCAAAGCCGCAGAGCCGACAAACGATGACGATAACTCAGGCCGCACTTCATCCAGTAGCGAGTACAGTGAAGACTCCACCAACTGCACTCGAGAGGCCGCAGGCAACGAACTCGCAGAACTGCTACATAGTTATAAATGAAAAGACAATAAGATTTTTATTTACGAGTATGTGCTATATAAACTAACAAAAAACGATGAACCGAAGCGTTAGCGATAATCGATAACAAAATGCTAAAATTGTTGAAATGGAAATTATGAAAGCGCGAATTTCAAGTGCAAGCTAAAAAAAAAAAGTAAACGTTTCGAATGCACTGAAAAAGCGTAGCAAACTTTTGATTTACTAAATCAATTAATTATATTAGCAATGAGAATTAATAAATACAAATGCAAACAAAAAATCGAAATATATATTATATACATATATGCATATATTTTCAAAATTTTATAACGAACCAAAAAAAACCAATTAGCAAACAAATTTAACAAGATGAACGGGAAACGAATGAAGAAGTTTTTTAAATTCATACGCAAGCAGAACTAAGAGTCGGTAACGAATTCGCACAGCAAAACACTTCCATAAAAAAAAAAATGAAAGGTTAAAACTAAATATTAAACAATTTTACTAGGCACAAGCGGACGAAATTGGGCTAGATGAACAAACAAAAAATAAGAAAAACTCCATTCAAAATAAACCGAATTTTTTAAGCAAATACAAAAATGTTGTTGAAAATGGTCAGCATGGAAATTGATTTTAGGACACAGTTTGTGGGCGATATATCCAATTCGAGGGAGGATGGAAACAAATTTTGAATAATGGAAAATTTTAAAGAACTACTAACGTATGTATCCAGATATGTACTGCAACCAAACACCAAAATTCACACTGAATAAGCAACGTTATATTTATTAATTGAACAAAAACTAAGACACTAAAACTACAAATTGAATCAAAATAACAGCAAAAAGAAACCAACTGCTGCTTTTCTACATACGAACATATATATATATATATATATATATATATATATGTATACAGACACATATAGGCATATGTGTATGAACATGGAAAAAGATATGCAAAAATTGTTTCTCATATATTTATATTAATATTTAAAATAAATAGTTCAAACATATTAGCAAACCAAATATGCGAAATTAAAACAATTTGAAGGGAAATGCGAAAGAAGAAAAAAAAAACACAGAAACACAGAAAACTGAAGCGTCAAGTTTATATGTAGAGATATGTATGAATGTAAATTTAAAGTGAACAAAGTAAAACCCAAACAAAAAGAAGTTAAAGCAAGATGCTTAGGTGAAAATTTAATTAGTGTGTACTTAAGAAACAAGAAACAAGAAACCATTTAACAATTGAACGATTAATTATTAACTTAACTAGGCATTGAAGCAGCACTCAACTAAATAAAAACCGAAAACGAATCGAATCGAAGCCGAGGCCGAAAAACAGAAACACACACACAGAACTCGAATTGAACTACTGTACTTATACGTATGCGCGTTGCTGTAATATAAACAAAATTCTTATGTTGAATCGATGGCGAATGGGTGTAATCGATTAATCGATGACTATATCTACCACAGCAGAAACTATTTATTTAAACCTATATCGAATCGAATCGATTGGAGTGAAGTGGAGCGGGGACCGATTGTCATTTGTCATTTGTAAATTCATTTGCACTTTTCTTTCTAACTAATTACGTTTAATTAATGAATTAATCATACGCCTAAGTTAACACTTCTACCATTGTACATTGTAATATGTTTTATTCCTAAGCCGAGCATTAAATGTAATTATTTATGTATAAAAGCAAAATGATTCTTTCGCCCATGTATAACACTTTGCGCCCTCCTCTCCCCCCCACAATTCTCATCCTCTCTATCCAAGTCTGTTTCCCACTCCCCATTCTCTATTAATCTCTATCTTATATATACGAATATATAAACGACTATTTAATTGCATTTCTTTGTATTAAAACGAGTAACAACACACTAGAAATTGAATAAAAAGCCTCAACAAAATATTCAACACTTTTCATTTTTCTTATCAGTTCGCTTCATTTTCCAACTCTTCAAGATAAATTCTCAGTTGTTTCCTCTTTTCTTTTTTTGTTGGTTTACGAATGTGTGCAGAAAAATCGTATAAATAAAAAATATATATAAATTCAAATGGAATGCGATTTTTGAAATTTATTTCTGATGGAAGATTACTATGGCCTGTAAAGTAAGTATTGAAATTGCTATCCTTTCCAGTAATAGTTTCTCTCCGTGCATTGGTATGAATATATCATAGTCATTGGCCCTATGTTCCTCTGATTTCGTAGAATATCAATTGCACATTCCAGCTAGCCATGTTGGTCGGACTTGTAAATTGCAGCCAAGAACAAGATAGGTGGTCCCCCGCCTCTGGTGACAAATGTTCCTCGAGGCGACAATGTAAAGGGAGTCCGACGACCACCGACGCAGAGTCCTCGACAGACCAGGTTTCCTCCTCCTCAAGATGACAAATCACATGTGCTGACATTTGACATCGGTGCTGGGGGATTAACATGTTATGGCCAGGGCCCTCGACTCCTTCGGGGCAGTAAAAGTGTTGGCCATCGCCCAAGGCAAACACAGTTATTAAGGGGAGACCTGCCGATGGTATGCTTGCTCCTCCGCCACTTGGGCTCCTCCTTTTCATGACCAGCAGACCATGGACAGACCACACAAGTAGTGGCCAAGTGGCTCCTGCTTTGCATAAATGTCCCAGCCTCCTTTGATTCCAGCCTATCTTCTCTACCGGCGGCGGCCTCATCCACATCGGTGGCTTGTTTAATTAAAAAATTAAGTTCCAAATCCCAGACCATTAAAAAGATTTTTATTTATACCTTTTAATTTCATCAATCGTTGCGACGGCAGGTGCCGTCCACATCCACATATCCATGTTCCAGGCACCGTCCTTCGCCATTTACCCACTCTCCCCGCGAAGTTTGTTTTCTTTGCCTTCCACTCTTTAGCTTTTAACAGGAAACAATTTCATTTGCGAGCAGAAATTCTTTTCAAATCTGCCGCCGTTAAGCAAAAAGAAAACATGCCAAGAAATAATAATAAAAAAATTGAAAAAAAACCTATAAGGTGACTGAGAAAAACCAATCGCTGCTCTTACAAAAGGTATTTCGACTTTTTGAACAAAGTTGATTGGATCGATTGTAAGTTTGAGAGAGAATTTACATAATTAATATATTTTATTCCATTTTAATTTTATTTAATCAACATTTTACTTTCATGATTTGGGCAATATTTTTTAACAAACTTTTTCTTTACTTTAATTTAAAGATGTTTAAAAAATATCGAAAAATCCTTTTGAATTTTTTAAACCTTCGTTTTGGGAAGAAATCGTTACCCTATTGTCATAGTGCATATCAATTTCGATATGGTAAAACCCACAACAATTTCCCCACCTTATGGTAAGTTTGGTTTCCTTTTTGGCCAGAACGTTTTGTTGGCCGTTCGGCTTTTGGCCAGCCCGAAAGCCAGGCCAAAAACCCACGGGCTGCAAGTCAGTTGCCTTTGGCTTTCGAGGAGACTCTGTGGCTCAGTTTTGGTTTATGAATGTCGCCATGTTGCTATAGCAGAGTGGTGCAGTGTGTTGCCGTGGCACATTCCACACACACACACATACTCACACACACAGACAGATCGACAGGATGAAACTGTTGCCTGCATACGGCATGCATATTTCGTATTTTTAGTACAGCCATTTAACATCATCAACTTAAATATGCGTGCAAGATTTATGCACACGTCGCTCGGTCCAAAAGGGGCGGCGGTCTGGTCGGTAAGGGGCGTGGCCTGGCCAGACCTGGAATGGATTGGCATAAAGAGCCATCGAACTGTGGCCCAAAATGAAATGCGAACAGCACGAGCACGTGATACTAAAGTATTATCGCATTTGAAAAGCCAAAAGCCATAAAGCTAAATTTCCATAAATATTATTTTCAATAAATAGTTCTAACAGATTAGTGACAGTCTAGATGGTTCTTTTGGTTTTTTTAACTTCTAAAACTAAAAAAAAATAACTATATAAGACAAACCTTATTGGCAAACTAAATCTAAAGATCATACAAGAGATTATTCTTTATCAAATTATTCAATTATTGCAAATCATATTACTCCATTCCAAGAATCTAAAAACCAATTTGTAAAGCTAAATAGTTGCATAAGCAGATGGCAAATAGTTTATTTCTCGTTTGCCCTGTCAATAACTCAGACAGCCTATCTGCATATTAGACATTAACATATGCTCACTATTTATGCATTTCCCAAAGTAATAATCAAGTGATTTCAGACCAAGAGTGAGACTGAGACTGAGATTGAGATTCACCCACATACTGTTCTGTGCAATTGAATAAAATCATTATGGAACGCTGTCCGATCTAATGACATCTGCAACTTGCACAAGCCGAAAGATACTTTATTGATTTCTGACGTAGTCCGAACATTTTGCGCAATTCCGAGCTTGAAACCAAATCCGAATTGTGGGTAACTGGGTAAACATCTTCACCTGCTGTGCCGCCTGCTGCCGCCGTTCAATATTGTGGTTAATATTTAATGAAAAGCCCAAAAAGCCAAATAAAACCGAAATATTCAAAATGAATATGCAAGAAAT